GAAATATATAACTAAAGAGAATGATATTAAACGTTTGGCATTACAGACGTTCATGCGGAGGAGAATATCAGTGGATATAAAAAAGATACCACGAATGAAATGTACTTGACACGTGAGAAAAGATCTGCATCTCCAGGGAACAATCAACCTTGTGTTAAACAAGCGAAATATGAACAGAAATACAATTTTTCTTCGGCAGATGTAGATACAAGCGAAACTGTAGACAATTACTTAAACAATGGTGACGCAAATATTAATAAAGCTGTCAAAAATAAAAATAATAGAAGAGGAAGCATAAGATATTCTGAAAATAAGAATGGTACTAAAATAGAAACTACAAGACTGAAAAAGTTTAATACTAACAACAGTGTTAATTTCACAGATAAAAATAGTAATAGTATCGAAAGATTACAGCTAAAGTACAACTTAGACAATTTTAAGCTAAAGGAATTAAGAGTGATATTGAAGGACATCAAATATGATAAACAAAATGGAATAAATGTAACGCATTCGGAAAATGATGTATGGGAAGTAGAAAACATTCTTGGAAAGAAAGAACTAAATGGCCAGTTGGCATACTTAATTAAATGGAAGAATTGGAGTAACAAATATAATTCTTGGGAGCCAGAACCTAATTTAATCAATTGCTCGGATATATTGGAGGAGTTCGAGAAACGCAGATTAGAATTGCTGAATCACTTACAGAAAACAGTAAACTTCTATCCTAACAGACAGGATATTGAACAATTTGTACGCAAACTTACATATGGGAAAAAGACAATAATGTCCCTGTCAGTTAGATATGATATTCTGTCTAATGCTTTGAAAAGCTTGAAGTATGCAACTAGTGATTCAAAATTTGAATTCATAAAAGATGGAATTCTCAGGATGTTGGTTTTTGAACTGAGAAAAAAACAGTTGGAATCATTATTGCTTTGGGAGAAGGAAATGAATACTGTTACTAAAGGTAGACCAACGATAAAGGTGGAGAACTTCGTAGACTTGGAAGAAGGACCTCAAAATTTCTATTACATAGATGTTTACCGACCTGGCACTGGAGTAATAATACCCAATGATCCACCTATTGGCTGCGAATGCACTACTTGCAATTCTAAAGCAAAATGTTGTTTCGGTCAATATGGTACATACTGTCCTTATAATTCTTCATTTAAGATCCGAGTTCCACCCGGTACGCCAATATACGAGTGCAATAAGCGATGCGCATGCGACATTAATTGCATTAATCGCGTGGTACAGCGTGGGACAGCGATGAAACTTTGCATATTTAGGACTGCCAATGGAAGAGGTTGGGGTGTAAAATCTCTGCAGTTAATCAAAAAAGGATCCTTCGTGACACAGTATGTAGGTGAGGTGATTTCGAGCGAAGAAGCTGAGAAACGCGGTGAAGAATACGATGCTGCTGGCAGAACATACCTGTTCGATCTAGATTATAATGAGACTGAAGGTCAATGTCCCTATACTGTTGATGCTGCTGTATATGGTAATGTTTCTCACTTCATCAACCATTCTTGTGACCCAAACTTGGCAGTCTATGCTGTTTGGATCGACTGCCTTGATCCAAATCTCCCGAACCTCGCCTTGTTTGCCACCAGAGACATTAAGACGAACGAAGAAATCACATTTGACTACACGTGTCAGACGTCTAGAAACAGCGAGACTTCTATTAGGCAAGACATATCGAACAAAGATAATCTAAACACTGGTACTACTAAGGATTCTCAAAATGAACTTGAAATTCGGCCAGACACCCCGCAGTCCGACTTATCTTATACCAAAACTTTGTGTAAATGCGGAGCCAAGAATTGTCGACGATACTTGTTTTGATTAGTTCTTTAAATTCATTATATGTATAATACTGTATGCACATTGACTTCGATTCCTCAGTTGTAGTATTGTCAAAGCATTGTATAAAATTACAAAATCTAATAAGTCACTCGTCGTCAAAAATCATTATTTTTTGTTTATGATTCCTGCTTGAATAGATTATACACTGTATAAGTAAGAAATTATCTCACAATGTAGTCACATAAGTGTCAACACAAAGGGTGTCCTATGATCTAAGCTGATCTCACAGAAGATACATTTGTATGAAGTATTACATAATTATTGTAATAATATGAAAATTGTTCTAAGCAGCCATTTTCTGCCAAAAATTATTTCAAAACATAATGCTTATTTGTATAAGTTATAATTTTACATCAAAGGAATGCCTCAAAAAACTGGTCAGATTTATTTGTAAGATATGATATTTAACTTGACTAATGCTAGACGCACTATTTGTACACATGACTATTTATTAAAGGCAATTCTGATGTAATCGTAATAACACGAAAGAGAAATCAATTCAATGTGACGCAATGACGCATAACAAAGTTTACAAATCTATAGTAAAAGTAAATATTTCTCACACTATTAGATGTATGTTTACTTCTATGTAAAGTCATTCACTTACCAAATTGTTAAAACCCTTTCTTTACTAACAATAACTACAATCACATCAAAATTGTGAATTCAATAAGAACTATGATTGGATTTACTATTATAATTTGTCATATACTAATTTAAGTACTGTAACGAAAGGGTTAAATACGCTTAAACTAAGTACGACATTCTGCCTTTTTAGTGATACTTCCATAACTGTCGCAGGTCTTTTCATATTTCTCAAGAATTAGCGAAGCTTATCGAAAGAGAATGAGAACAGTTCTTATTCGGTAATTGAGGATTCGAAGACCCAAGAGACAAGGTAGATTTCTTGTTAAGTGAACAGTTATCGAAGCATTACAGTAGATATTTCTTCGCGCGACTCAAATTGGCCAGACATTGATACAAAAAGAATGTCTGACGATATGAACAAATTGTTTAGTTCAACCATATAAATTATAGTAATGCTTAAGTAAAGGAGATCAATGTTTCATGTTCTGAGTAAGAAAACTGTTACGTGATGATTACTCAATAAGAAAGAAATTTATTGAAATAGTAAAAACCTAATCAAGCCAATGTTTTCATTTCAAAAATATTGAGTCGATTGTGTGACTCGCTGTGTACTATACATCATACCATGTTCAATTTTTGAGATTTAGTTATAAATTGCAAAATGCCATATTCTTTTTACTGTTTTTATATAGTTTCTAAGTAAAACAGATTTTTT